CCACACCCTATACCCAAGCCCCTATCTAAACCCTAAACCCTAAACCCTAAACCCTAAACCCTAAACCCTAAACCCTAAACCACTGAACATGCTCATGTCACCGTCCTGAGGAGCGAGCTCCGGCCCGAATGTCCATGACGGAGCGGCGCGCATCCGGTGAAGCGAGGCCCAAGCCCCCTTGGAGGGTTCATGATGCAGGGCTTAGGGTTTAGGGTCTAGGGTCTAGGGTTTAGGGTTTAGGGTTTAGGGTTTAGGGTTTAGGGTTTAGGGTTTAGGGTTTAGGGTTTAGGGTTTAGGGTTTAGTAGCCCAATTATAACTGTACTTCTCGCCCCAGTTGTAACCCTCTTAGGGTACTTCAGAGGCGTATACGTGGGTTATCACTACACTTATAATGGGTCACTAAGTACCCTGAACCTCCAAGCCAACCAGGTTTAGGAGCCGAAGGAACCCTGATCTACACCGCAAATGACGACCTCCAGATGTTACGGCAGTTGTTCGCACTCTGTGAAAATCAAGATGTATCGGCAAAGGCATCCCCAGCTTACCACATAAATGAGAAAGACGAACCCACTGAATGTAAAATGATACAGTCTTTGAACGACCTTAAGAAATTGAGAGAGAAGGACGAATACCCGCTAATTCATGATTGTAATGGTTTAAGCCATTTGTTTTATGAAAGCAAGATGGCAGGCTCTGAGACACAGGTGCGGTTTAGCGGTTGTATCGTGTCCGAAGAAGGGCATAAGATACATGATTCAAACCCAAATCTAGTGACAAATTCAGCGGATGGAACCATCGAAGTAAGAACGTTCCATAGTATGGGTTTCAATTTAGGGGTCTTGTCTTGGGGTCTTTCGGTGGGTTGAAGGTTGAGGCATAGGTTGTTATGGTTCGGGTGCTAGGGGGTGGTGCATGGTTAGAAAATAGACATGGTATATGCTAACTAAGTTGCGCCGAATAGTTTGAGGATACTTTCTGAGCAATACCCATAACCCAAACCCCAAACCTTAAAAGCCTTAAACCCTACACCCTAAACCCTATTCCCATCCACCGCCTTCAAACCCAATCAAGACCTCCCCGAATCCAGCATTGTGCTCTGGCGCAGGCGTTCGCTTGCCGGCCGCGGTGGTGCCAAAGCGGCACCCACAGCCCCGCAGGCTCTGCGGGCGAGCACTATAAAACTTGCAGTGAGAGCGCATGGGGTTTGGGGCCTATCGTTACTTAAGACCCGGATATTGACCGGCCCCAAAATCTCCAGTCCAAACGCCAAAACCCTGGTTCAGGGTCGAGGGACTGCGCGGGCGTTCGCGGAAGTTCATGGCAGGTTTCTAGCTGAGTTTCATGGTGAGCTCACGAAATAGCGTGTGTTTAGGGTACTCTACACATCGGTCATTGGCGGCCCGTGTTATATAGCAGGGACCCAGGCAACCGATCATAGTTTGGAGACATGTAATTCAATATGAGCTATGATATGGCCACGTTTCCTTTGGGGATAGCAACCTGCCTCCCCCCCCCCCGCCTCAGCGCGATCCCCCCCCCCCCCCCCTCCCCCCCCCCCCCCGCCCCCCCCCCTCCCCCCCCCCCCCCCCCCCCCTTCCTCCACCCCACCTCCCCCCCCCCCACCCTACCCCCCCCCCCCCCCCCCCTCCCCTCCCCCTCCCCCCCCCTATCCCCCCCCCTCCCCCGCTGGGTTCAGGGTTTGCAGGGGCGCGTCCAATCTCGGGTGGCGGGAATTCGTTTGGATGCTGGAGTGGCCAAGGCAAGCTTGGCTGTGAGGGTATCCCAACCTGAGGTCGATGTGGGCCCGGGTTAGTCCAAGCCGAGAAAATGTCCGGGTACCCACTCTGCATAGTGTAATGTATGAACCACCCAAAAAGTAAATCATCATCCCTGTATTGCCCTTACAAGGAACATATGTGTGTGTGTGTGTGTGTGTGTGTTTTTTTTTTTTTTTTGGGGGGGGGGGGTTCTCAAACAAATAGTACTCTAGGTTTTGTGTGTCTTAGGTTTTCTAAGGTTTCGGGATGGCTGGGATGGTCTCGTAAAGGTTGCTGCATCAGTACAGGGCTTTGGGGGCATTTGGGGCACCTTCCCTGCAGCACAGCTTGACATTGGTTCCTCATCCTGAGATTCGAGATTGACTTGTTTGCTTGGGTTTGCGATGCTTGGAAGTGTTGTGGCTTTCGTTGTGAGCTCCGTAGGGCACACAGCACATGCTTGATTCTGAGGGGTCGAGGGTCTGAGACGCTTCCTGCGGATTTTTCAGCAGGATGTGTCGGAGGAGGAGGAGACCGCAAGCGAAGAGACAGATGACGAGGTCAGGAAGTATGCAAAGGGGGGATGTGTACTACAAGCTCGCATGGTTTGATTCTTGAGCAAGGCGGGCATAAGGCGGAGTACCCCTAAGCCGTAAGCTTAAGTACCGCTTGAGAAACCCTAAACCCTCAACCCTAAACCCTAAGCCCTAAGCCTAAACCCTAAACCCTAAGCCCTAAGCCCTAAGCCCTAAACCCTAGCACCGGTCTCAACAAGACTCAGAGTCGGTCAGTCCCACTTGTCCGAGATCCCTCCATCAGTTTCCGTGAGCCTCTTCGGGGTAAGAGAGATAGAAGATGCTTGCAGCTCAGGGCTTAGGGGATTGAGGGGTTGACCCCTAAACCCTAAACCCTAAACCCTAAACCCTAAACCCTTAACCCTTAACCCTTAACCCTTAACCCTTAACCCTATAACCCTATAACCCTATAACCCTATAAACCCTAAACCCTAAACCTTAAATTGAGGGTACGAGCTCGCACACATAGTTTGCAGGACCCTGATCTCCACACTGCAGCCAGCCCTACCAACTTACCCACGGCTTAGGGTTTAGGGTTTAGGGTTTAGGGTTTAGGGTTTAGGGTTTAGGGTTTAGGGTTTAGGGTTTAGGGTTTAGGGTTTAGGGTTTAGGGCCAAATCACCCCCTTCAATCTAGCAAGTGACGTGGTACCCCAAGATGAGCGGCGCCGTAAACCTTCCATGAAAGAATTAGATTGAGGGTTCGCCTTTGATTGGCCCGCGTCAGCTAAAGTCCGAGGCGCGCCAGTGCGCGATAGTTTCTGCGAGAGAGCTCTGGTTGCGAGAGCGCGCGGTAGCGCGCGAGAGGGTAGGGTTGAGGGTTGAGGGTTGAGGGTTGAGGGCTTAGGGCTTAGGGTTTAGGGCCGCGAAATCCGCGTCAGCTGCGCGTCAGCTCCGCGATCTCCGCGCGTCAGCAACAGGTAGGCTATAGGTGACCCAACCCTTCATCTTCAGCTTAATAGCGCCCACACCCCGACGGAAAAACCGCGCAACAGCCGAAACAGCACAGGGTCTTTAATTAATGGGGTTGGGCGAAGTAATGAACAGTGAGGGCTTCATTTCCAGGTCTCATCCCAAACCTCTTGGAAAGTTTAGTGTTCAGGCATTTCGGGCTCAATATTAGGGTTCAGGCTAGTCTGAAGGTTTGGGGTCTTGTGTTGGCTTCCCGCGATAGTCCGCGTCAGTGCAACCCCAAAAAGCACGTGCGCGTCAGCGCGCGATGCGACCTGCAGCAGGCCGCGTCAGAGCCCGCGAGAACTCTTCCATAGTCGAATGAAAAGTTCAAAGGGTTTTCGGCACTGCTCAGATATTTCAGGCAATATACCTTTACTGGACACACAACTCTGAGTATGAAAACCGTTATCAATATCTTGGCAACGGAATGGAACGTCATGTAAATGTATCGCGAAACCCTATAAGCCCGAAACCCTGCAATGTTCCCCTTTCATACTACTATACTAACAGTCCTTTAATCCGGATTCTCATAAAGGGTACTATGATCCCTATGAAGGACTGCTAGTAGAAGGGGGAACATCCCAACCCCTGACCTAAAACTCAAACCCCAAACCCCAAACCCTAAACCCTAAACCCTAAACCCTAAATCCTAAGCCCTATAAGCCCTATAAGCCCTGTAAGCCCTATAAGCCCCAAACCCTAAAACCTAAGCCCTATAAGCCCTATAAGCCCTATAAACCCTAAGCCCTATAAGCCCTATAAGCCCTATAAGCCCTATAAGCCCCAAACCCTAAGCCCCAAGCCCTATAAGCCCGAAGCCCTATAAGCCCTATAAGCCCTATAAGCCCTATAAGCCCTATAAGCCCTATAAGCCCTATAAGCCCTATAAGCCCTATAAGCCCTATAAGCCCTATAAGCCCTATAAGCCCTATAAGCCCTATAAGCCCTAAGCCCTATAAGCCCTAAGCCCTAAACCCTAAACCCTATACCCTATACCCTAAACCCTATACCCTAAACCCTAAGCCCTAAGCCCTAAGCTCTAAGCCCTAAGCCCTAAGCCCTAAGCCCTAAGCCCTATAAGCCCTATAAGCCCTAAACCCTAAACCCTATACCCTAAGCCCTAAACCCTAAGCCCTAAGCCCTAAGCCCTAAGCCCTAAGCCCTAAGCCCTAAGCCCTAAGCCCTAAGCCCTATAAAGCTCTCCCAAGCCCTAAGCCTAATAAGTTCTCCCAGGTCAAACCCGGAAGTCGCCCCCGAGTGGCGGCGGCGGGGCTTTGCACCACAGCTCAGGCCCCTCCCTGCTGCGAGATGGTTGGGTTTAAGGTTTAGGGTTTAGGGTTTAAGGTTTAGGGTTTAGGGTTTAGGGTTAATTATAAACTCCCAGGGGTTAGGGCTTAGGGCTTCGGGTTTGGGGGTAGGGGGGGGCGGGGATTGATCTTGGAAAGATCGGCCCACTTTGGTAAGGGTGCTCTAAACGATACGGAACATGCATTCGTTCGTTTCATGGTTGCAATAGAGCCCTTCTTGTGGACCCAGGACCCTCGCCTTCAGGTGCTATCGGAAAAGGTCGTGACAAAAGGATTCAGGAATGTTCGGGAGCTTACGATGCGGGTCTTCGTTGCGCTGACGACTGGATGGGACATCGAGACATGATGAGGCAATTTGCTCTTCAGTCGCAGGGGTCGCAGTGTGTAGCCAGCGGAGGTCGACAGCCATGGCCGCCAGCCGCAGCTCCCAGACCTATGAGGGCCTGAACCATGCGAGCCAGGCGCCAGAGCTGCGCAGGGCCCCTCGCTGGTACCTTGTTGGTGCCGGCGTGGTGCTGCTGGCGGTCGCCGGCGTGGCCGCCAAGGCGTACTCGTCCTCCGGGGCCCTGTTCTCCGCCAGCGCCGCGCGCGGAGGCGAGATTCAGGATTGGGAGGAGCTCCCAGGGATGGACAAGGTGATCAAGAAGGCCCAGGCCTTGACGCTCAAGCATCCGCTCCGCAATTTGAATGATTTGTTCTACGACTCGCAGCCAGAGGAACTGCCTTGGATCCGCACCGAATCTGGGTGCAAGTTGGGATGTGTTTTTGTTGTCTTATGTTGGTTTTGGGGTTCCTATGTGTTTGCTTTGCACTAGCAAAGAAAGCTATAGAGGGGATCCTTGTTGTTACCCTGCCATTCTGTTGGTTAAGGAATGCGTGATTGACACCGTTCAAGCAGCAGCCTACCTGGGCCAGGCCGTTGTGTTCCTCTACAAAGCCATCGACTATGCTCCTCACCTGATATCGTACCTACAACAAAAATAAGTTTCTTAATTTTTGCTTGTTGAACGAACGTGGCCAAGTCGTGTTTGCGCCCTTGAATATGTTTTTTTGTGCCACCTAGAATGGCCTGGAGTGTCCCGACAACTCACCTGTGGGCTGCGCTGCCAGCGTCGCCGGCTTCATCACATCCATCACCTGGATTGCCTCGTACTTGTCCTTCGCGGCCAACGCCTGTGGTCAGGCTGTGAACTCGGGCGCGCTCTGCGCAGGCGCAGCTCACAGTAAGGGATAGCCAATAGCAAGGGCTTGTCATCTGCCACTGTTTGGGATAAGCACTATACGGTAACAACAGGCCACGCTCCTGCTGGGATCAGCCTTTACACATGCTGGTGGCGCAGGTGACTTCACAGCCCTCATGGCCAATTTCGGTGAGATCGCGACGGTCGGTGCCGCAGTGAAGGCGGACTGCGACTTCGGCAAGAACGCGATCAGCATCATCACGAATCCGGACCCTGTCTCCCCACCCTGGGCCCAGTTCGTCCCCGGTGGCGCCGGACCTGAGGCCGAGAAGATCCTTGCGATCAAGGGCCACCAGGAGGCCAAGCGCAACAGGGACTTCGACATCACGCAGTGCGTCATGGACGTGACCAACTCTGCCTCCTACATCGTGCGAGTCATCCTTCAGATTCGGGCTGCTGGCAGTGCCTGCCCAGACCCCAAGGCCTGTGCTGTCGGGATCATGAACATCATCTCCTCATTCGCATGGATCTCCCAGTTCACGGCCTTGGCCGTGTCGGATTGCCAGGTGGGTGCGGACCAGAAGGCACTGTGCACTGCGGACATTTCTGACATGGTTGCAGCAGTGACCAACGGTCCCGCGGCCGGCATCGCCTCCACGTCCGATTGTGCTGACCTCTAGGGCAGCTGTTTAAACCTTATGGTATAGGAGCATGGCCAGTGGCCATCAATATAGCTGTATAGTGCACATTTTGCTTTCCAGCGGATGTTCCTGACCGCATCCCCAGAAGAGAGTCTGGCCGAAAAGGCGTGGTGCTCTGACTCCTGGGATCTGTTGCGATGACTTGGGGCCATCTGCTGAGCGTGTTGACTTAGCGGCACGCGGGAGCTGGCAATACGTCTGCTCCCTGCGGCAGCGTTGGACAGCGTTGGAGACGCACTGCAAAAGAGTTGCTTGTAGCCAAAGCGATTGGGTAGCTGTGCATTGCAGCTCGCATGTCGCCAAGACAACATGCTGGAGGCAATTTGCTCTTCAGTCGCAGGGGTCGCAGTGTGTAGCCAGCGGAGGTCGACAGCCATGGCCGCCAGCCGCAGCGCCCAGACCTATGAGGGCCTGAACCATGCGAGCCAGGCGCCAGAGCCGCGCAAGGCCCCTCGCTGGTACCTTGTTGGTGCCGGCGTGGTGCTGCTGGCGGTCGCCGGCGTGGCCGCCAAGGCGTACTCGTCCTCCGGGGCCCTGTTCTCCGCCAGCGCCGCGCGCGGAGGCGAGATTCAGGATTGGGAGGAGCTCCCAGGGATGGACAAGGTGATCAAGAAGGCCCAGGCCTTGACGCTCAAGCATCCGCTCCGCAACTTGAATGATTTGTTCTACGACTCGCAGCCAGAGGAACTGCCTTGGATCCGCACCGAATCTGGGTGCAAGTTGGGATGTGTTTTTGTTGTCTTATGTTGGTTTTGGGGTTCCTATGTGTTTGCTTTGCACTAGCGTTGTTACCCTGCCATTCTGTTGGTTAAGGAATGCGTGATTGACACCGTTCAAGCAGCAGCCTACCTGGGCCAGGCCGTTGTGTTCCTCTACAAAGCCATCGACTATGCTCCTCACCTGATATCGTACCTACAACAAAAATAAGTTTCTTAATTTTTTCTTGTTGAACGAACGTGGCCAAGTTGTGTTTGCGCCCTTGAAGATGTTATTTGTGCTACCTAGAATGGCCTCGAGTGTCCCGACAACTCACCTGTGGGCTGCGCTGCCAGTGTCGCCGGCTTCATCACATCCATCACCTGGATTGCCTCGTACTTGTCCTTCGCGGCCAACGCCTGTGGTCAGGCCGTGAACTCGGGCGCGCTCTGCGCAGGCGCAGCTCACAGTAAGGGATAGCCAATAGCAAGGGCTTGTCATCTGCCACTGTTTGGAATAAGCACTATACGGTAACAACAGGCCACGCTCCTGCTGGGATCAGCCTTTACACATGCTTGTGGCGCAGGTGACTTCACAGCCCTCATGGCCAATTTCGGTGAGATCGCGACGGTCGGTGCCGCAGTGAAGGCGGACTGCGACTTCGGCAAGAACGCGATCAGCATCATCACGAATCCGGACCCTGTCTCCCCACCCTGGGCCCAGTTCGTCCCCGGTGGCGCCGGACCTGAGGCCGAGAAGATCCTTGCGATCAAGGGCCACCAGGAGGCCAAGCGCAACAGGGACTTCGACATCACGCAGTGCGTCATGGACGTGACCAACTCTGCCTCCTACATCGTGCGAGTCATCCTTCAGATTCGGGCTGCTGGCAGTGCCTGCCCAGACCCCAAGGCCTGTGCTGTCGGGATCATGAACATCATCTCCTCCTTCGCGTGGATCTCCCAGTTCACGGCCTTGGCCGTGTCGGATTGCCAGGTGGGTGCGGACCAGAAGGCACTGTGCACTGCGGACATTTCTGACATGGTTGCAGCAGTGACCAACGGTCCCGCGGCCGGCATCGCCTCCACGTCCGATTGTGCTGACCTCTAGGGCAGCTGTTTAAACCTTATGGTATAGGAGCATGGCCAGTGGCCATCAATATAGCTGTATAGTGCACATTTTGCTTTCCAGCAGATGTTCCTGACCGCATCCCCAGAAGAGACTCGAGTCTGGCCGAAAAGGCGTGGTGCTCTGACTCCTGGGATCTGTTGCGATGACTTGGGGCCATCTGCTGAGCGTGTTGACTTGCACGCGGGAGTTGGCAATACGTCTGCTCCCTGCGGCAGCGTTGGACAGCGTTGGAGACGCACTGCAAAAGAGTTGCTTGTAGCCAAAGCATTTGGGCAGCTGTGCATTGCAGCTCGCATGTCGCCAACATGCTGGAGGCAATTTGCTCTTCAGTCGCAGGGGTCGCAGTGTGTAGCCAGCGGAGGTCGACAGCCATGGCCGCCAGCCGCAGCGCCCAGACCTATGAGGGCCTGAACCATGCGAGCCAGGCGCCAGAGCTGCGCAAGGCCCCTCGCTGGTACCTTGTTGGTGCCGGCGTGGTGCTGCTGGCGGTCGCCGGCGTGGCCGCCAAGGCGTACTCGTCCTCCGGGGCCCTGTTCTCCGCCAGCGCCGCGCGCGGAGGCGAGATTCAGGATTGGGAGGAGCTCCCAGGGATGGACAAGGTGATCAAGAAGGCCCAGGCCTTGACGCTCAAGCATCCGCTCCGCAACTTGAATGATTTGTTCTACGACTCGCAGCCAGAGGAACTGCCTTGGATCCGCACCGAATCTGGGTGCAAGTTGGGATGTGTTTTTGTTGTCTTATGTTGGTTTTGGGGTTCCTATGTGTTTGCTTTGCACTAGCGTTGTTACCCTGCCATTCTGTTGGTTAAGGAATGCGTGATTGACACCGTTCAAGCAGCAGCCTACCTGGGCCAGGCCGTTGTGTTCCTCTACAAAGCCATCGACTATGCTCCTCACCTGATATCGTACCTACAACAAAAATAAGTTTCTTAATTTTTGCTTGTTGAACGAACGTGGCCAAGTGTGTTTGCGCCCTTGAATATGTTTTTTTGTGCTACCTAGAATGGCCTCGAGTGTCCCGACAACTCACCTGTGGGCTGCGCTGCCAGCGTCGCCGGCTTCATCACATCCATCACCTGGATTGCCTCGTACTTGTCCTTCGCGGCCAACGCCTGTGGTCAGGCTGTGAACTCGGGCGCGCTCTGCGCAGGCGCAGCTCACAGTAAGGGATAGCCAATAGCAAGGGCTTGTCATCTGCCACTGTTTGGGATAAGCACTATACGGTAACAACAGGCCACGCTCCTGCTGGGATCAGCCTTTACACATGCTGGTGGCGCAGGTGACTTCACAGCCCTCATGGCCAATTTCGGTGAGATCGCGACGGTCGGTGCCGCAGTGAAGGCGGACTGCGACTTCGGCAAGAACGCGATCAGCATCATCACGAATCCGGACCCTGTCTCCCCACCCTGGGCCCAGTTCGTCCCCGGTGGCGCCGGACCTGAGGCCGAGAAGATCCTTGCGATCAAGGGCCACCAGGAGGCCAAGCGCAACAGGGACTTCGACATCACGCAGTGCGTCATGGACGTGACCAACTCTGCCTCCTACATCGTGCGAGTCATCCTTCAGATTCGGGCTGCTGGCAGTGCCTGCCCAGACCCCAAGGCCTGTGCTGTCGGGATCATGAACATCATCTCCTCCTTCGCGTGGATCTCCCAGTTCACGGCCTTGGCCGTGTCGGATTGCCAGGTGGGTGCGGACCAGAAGGCACTGTGCACTGCGGACATTTCTGACATGGTTGCAGCAGTGACCAACGGCCCCGCGGCCGGCATCGCCTCCACGTCCGATTGTGCTGACCTCTAGGGCAGCTGTTTAAACCTTATGGTATAGGAGCATGGCCAGTGGCCATCAATATAGTGTATAGTGCACATTTTGCTTTCCAGCGGATGTTCCTGACCGCATCCCCAGAAGAGACTCGAGTCTGGCCGAAAAGGCGTGGTGCTCTGACTCCTGGAATCTGTTGCGATGACTTGGGGCCATCTGCTGAGCGTGTTGACTTGCACGCGGGAGCTGGCAATACGTCTGCTCCCTGCGGCAGCGTTGGACAGCGTTGGAGACGCACTGCAAAAGAGTTGCTTGTAGCCAAAGCATTTGGGCAGCTGTGCATTGCAGCTCGCATGTCGCCAACATGCTGGAGGCAATTTGCTCTTCAGTCGCAGGGGTCGCAGTGTGTAGCCAGCGGAGGTCGACAGCCATGGCCGCCAGCCGCAGCGCCCAGACCTATGAGGGCCTGAACCATGCGAGCCAGGCGCCAGAGCTGCGCAGGGCCCCTCGCTGGTACCTTGTTGGTGCCGGCGTGGTGCTGCTGGCGGTCGCCGGCGTGGCCGCCAAGGCGTACTCGTCCTCCGGGGCCCTGTTCTCCGCCAGCGCCGCGCGCGGAGGCGAGATTCAGGATTGGGAGGAGCTCCCAGGGATGGACAAGGTGATCAAGAAGGCCCAGGCCTTGACGCTCAAGCATCCGCTCCGCAACTTGAATGATTTGTTCTACGACTCGCAGCCAGAGGAACTGCCTTGGATCCGCACCGAATCTGGGTGCAAGTTGGGATGTGTTTTTGTTGTCTTATGTTGGTTTTGGGGTTCCTATGTGTTTGCTTTGCACTAGCGTTGTTACCCTGCCATTCTGTTGGTTAAGGAATGCGTGATTGACACCGTTCAAGCAGCAGCCTACCTGGGCCAGGCCGTTGTGTTCCTCTACAAAGCCATCGACTATGCTCCTCACCTGATATCGTACCTACAACAAAAATAAGTTTCTTAGTTTTTGCTTGTTGAACGAACGTGGCCAAGTTGTGTTTGCGCCCTTGAAGATGTTATTTGTGCTACCTAGAATGGCCTCGAGTGTCCCGACAACTCACCTGTGGGCTGCGCTGCCAGTGTCGCCGGCTTCATCACATCCATCACCTGGATTGCCTCGTACTTGTCCTTCGCAGCCAACGCCTGTGGTCAGGCCGTGAACTCGGGCGCGCTCTGCGCAGGCGCAGCTCACAGTAAGGGATAGCCAATAGCAAGGGCTTGTCATCTGCCACTGTTTGGGATAAGCACTATACGGTAACAACAGGCCACGCTCCTGCTGGGATCAGCCTTTACACATGCTGGTGGCGCAGGTGACTTCACAGCCCTCATGGCCAATTTCGGTGAGATCGCGACGGTCGGTGCCGCAGTGAAGGCGGACTGCGACTTCGGCAAGAACGCGATCAGCATCATCACGAATCCGGACCCTGTCTCCCCACCCTGGGCCCAGTTCGTCCCCGGTGGCGCCGGACCTGAGGCCGAGAAGATCCTTGCGATCAAGGGCCACCAGGAGGCCAAGCGCAACAGGGACTTCGACATCACGCAGTGCGTCATGGACGTGACCAACTCTGCCTCCTACATCGTGCGAGTCATCCTTCAGATTCGGGCTGCTGGCAGTGCCTGCCCAGACCCCAAGGCCTGTGCTGTCGGGATCATGAACATCATCTCCTCCTTCGCGTGGATCTCCCAGTTCACGGCCTTGGCCGTGTCGGATTGCCAGGTGGGTGCGGACCAGAAGGCACTGTGCACTGCGGACATTTCTGACATGGTTGCAGCAGTGACCAACGGTCCCGCGGCCGGCATCGCCTCCACGTCCGATTGTGCTGACCTCTAGGGCAGCTGTTTAAACCTTATGGTATAGGAGCATGGCCAGTGGCCATCAATATATGCACATTTTGCTTTCCAGCGGATGTTCCTGACCGCATCCCCAGAAGAGACTCGAGTCTGGCCGAAAAGGCGTGGTGCTCTGACTCCTGGGATCTTGATGTTGCGATGACTTCGGCCCATCTGCTGAGCGTGTTGACTTGCACGCGGGAGCTGGCAATACGTCTGCTCCGTGCGGCAGCTTTGGACAGCGTTGGAGACGCCCTTCAAAAGAGCTGCTTGTAGGCCAAGGCTTTTGGGTAATGACATTGCATCTGGTTTGCGGGTTTCACAGCCGTGTTTTCTTGCCATATTTTGTATAGTTTTTTGCGGATAATGTCGATACTCCAGGCAGGCGTTGTCCAAGAGGCGTGGTGGTTTGCTTGGTGGTCGAATGGTGTGACCGGTGACCAGATTTTGCTGTTGCAAAGGCACCTTAAACCCTAAACCCTAAACATCCCTAAACCCTAAACACCCCACCTGCCTGAGCCGGATGTCAACGTTGGAGACGTGGTGTCCTAATTCCACGCTGTGGCAAGTACTCATCAGATCGATGGGTTTTGAGCCGTAACGTCATCCGTCGGGTCACCCATCATGTGCTGGGACTTGCATTGCCTAAACCCTAAACCCTAAGCCCGAAAGCTCCTTGTGGCCACCGGGCCGTCGCAATAATTCTGGTGGCGGCCATCTCCCCAGCCCAAGGCCTGAACATCTAAAACCATGAGCCGTTAACCCTCAACCTTCAGTATCCCAAAACACCACCCTTATAAATCACCCTAAAGGCTAAACCCAATCATCACGATCCTGCAGGCCCAGGCATTGGGGTCGGGGCCGATAGAGGCCGCAGCTCGAAATGAAGTGGGGGGACTTTAGGGTTTAGGGTTTAGGGTTTAGGGTTTAGGGCAACTTCTCGGGTTGTATGTCTAGAACATAGGCCTGAGAGATGTGGCGGTTTAAGGCTTTAGGCTATGAGGTGTTAGGGCCTGACGTCTACTTGGAGGTTCATGGTACTTATTAACCAATTCTAACAGACCATACTCGTATCACTGTACTTATGACCATATTAGGGCACTTCAGGGGCTTACAAGTGGGTTACAACTGGTTAGTGAGTACCCTAAAGCCTAAACCTTAAACCCTAAACCCTCCAAGGCCCTCCAAGTAGGGCTAACAGCGCTTTCAGGATCATGAGTTGTCTTTTGTTTGAGGCAGCCGAGTTCCTCAGCCTCCTACTTTAGGGTTTAGGGTTTAGGGTTTAGGGTTTGGGGTTTACTGTCGTGCACGGCTTAGGGGTCAGGGAAGATCCTGAGAACTTATAAACCCTAAGCCCCTCCTAGGCGTCTACAAACCATTACCCAGGCCCCCCACACTGGAGTTCAATTGGTCGTTCCTCTTTTGGGGGTTTCCCGGCTTCCCTGTCACATTCTACAAACTTAGCAGCTGAGTGGCCCTTTTGGGGTTTGTATACTTTGTGGTACTTTACTATAACTTGAGATCTTTAGCCTTTTTGGGCTTATTGGGTTTCTTAGTAAGGCAGCTAAAAATTTAATTTATAGCTACCCTCCTAAGTGCAGCCAAGTATAGTCCTGCTAGAATTGAAAGGTTAACCTTATTTTGGCCCATAGTACTCAGCAACTAGGCTTTAAACCATGTGAGGCACCTCGGACGGGTAGCTTGTCTTAGGGTAGTTCCATGGCCCCTTAGTACGGGCCCTTAAAAAGGGTACCCTGTATATACCCTATGCCAATTAAGGGCCCATACATCAGATCCCTTCAAAGGAGGTTAAGGACCACATTAAGACCCGAAGCCCTAAACCCTACATGCCTAAACCCTCACCCTAAACCCTAAACCCTAAACCCCGAACCCCTAACCTCTAAACCCTAAACCCTAAAACCCTAATTCCAAGGGCCCGTGAAAGTACCCTTAGTACTTATAGAGTTCGGGTTGCCTGGGCGATTGAGGAGATCACCAAGCTCCGTGAGGAGCTGGCTGCCAGCAAGCTGGCAGAGGCCAGGTATGGGTTTAGGGTTTAGGGTTCGGGGTCAAGGGTCTAGGGTCTAGGGTTTAGGGTTTAGGGTTTAGGGTTTGCTGTAATATGGCGGCTATGCTGTGAAGGTTAGGATGCAGAAGAGGCTCGACAGCCTCGTCAGGTGCGAAGAGCAACTCAGCAGCTCAGGCCCGATTGTCTACTGCTTGCTTAAGAACCCCAAAACAATAAATAAAAATAATAGTCCTTATATTACTCTAGGAAGAATAGTTTGCTTAAGAACCCCAAAAGAATAAGAAAATAGTAATGCCTACATGGCCCTTAACAAGGAATAGTATTCATAAATAATATTAATAATCCCTATATTACCCTTAATAAGGAATAATATTCATTTTGTCCAGGGTTCTTTAGCAATTAGTAGTTCTGGAGGGCCATCTAACACTATCTCCCACCCCACGCCGTCCAAGGCGGAAACGCCACCCTGGCCCATTCCTTTTAGGGTTCAGTTTAGGGTTAGGGTTTTTGCCTAACCCTCAAGTCAACCGCCTACTTCCAAAACATATGCCAGGCCAGTTAAAGGAGTGCCAGGGTCCGTGAGGCGGTTTCAGGACATGCTTGCGCCATCGAGGTCGAGGGGCTTTAGGGGGGCGGCCTAGGCCTTATTGAGTTTAGGGTTTAGGGTTTAGGGTTAGGGTGGCGGGGTTTTAGGGTTCAGGTTGGGGCTTTGGGAGTTTGCGGGCTTACCTGTTGGCGCATTTGAATAGGGGTCGTAGGCTGTCGGTCTTGGATTTCAAGATGTAAAATTGGATAGCTTAGGGGAAGCAGGGTTTCGGGTTTAGGGGAAACAGGCGGAATAGGGTATCGAGTTTGAGCTTACCAAGCATGTGAGTTTTCTGGCTCCATGGTGTGATCGTAGTTTGGCCATCCTTTGTTTCTTGTGTGCAACCATGCGCATCACGGCTTTTGGATTATAGTTGTTCACAGCCGGTGGTGAGAAGATGATGATGACAACACTCTGCACGGCAACATTGAGGATTCCTAGGAAGTTTAGGGTTTGGGTTCTAGGGTTTAGGGTTTAAGGTGAAACGTGATCTAGTGTCTATGTCGGTGCCCATATCACGAGCACATTGAACAACGCACAACTTTCTCGTGTCGGAGTGGTTCAGAAAGGGGAACCGAAGCATCTTCTTCGCCAGCCCGTCATCAGCATGCTGGGAACGCAGTTGGTGTGGTTTATACGTGGATTCGAGGGAATGCAGAATGTTTTTTAAGCACTCGCTCAACAAGGTGGTAGTCCACAAGCCGAGTCTCCGCCTATGAATGTAGGTTTTTTTTGCGAAGATTTGGATGGCGCAAACTGCGTAGTTTCAAGCTTAAATCCTACACCATCTTTTTTTGGGGGGGGCAACAAGTATGGGTTGCAACCTAAATTAAGTCAGGTTACAGCTCAAATTTCAACTATCGGAAACTGAAAGCATCGTGTTGAGACAGGAGGTCCAGGAACGATGTCTGGTTGGGTGTGCAGGTGTGCTGCGTGGGAGTGTAGGTGTATGTGCGTGTGTGTTATGGGGTGTGTACTTCTATTCTATTGCTTCTTTTACTGACTTATTGCTACTGCTATTGCAGCTTCTACTTCCGTGGAAGAGGCCTAGCAGTGCAGCGAGGAGGCCTTGCTGAAATACAACGGACGTCCTCCCAAAACTTTCTTGCCTAAACGGATCTAAGCCCTCCCCTCCCTAGCCGAATGCATTGTAAACCCTCAACGCAAAAACCAACGTCTAACAATGATCAGTAGTTCTGCTAGGCCCATGATCAAAGTACTGCATAAAAGTTTGTTTTATGATTGTTTGTATGAACATTTGCAGCATACACCTCGGAGGCAGAGATTGGGTGAGAGGGGAGGCGGTTTTGGGCTTCGTGTGGCCTTGCAGATTACAAAAGACAGCCTGATTGAAGAAAGCGACAGAGGAAACAGCTCCCCTCAGGGCCCCAAGAGCCGAAAATCATTACCCCTTTTTGGTTGTGTAAGGTTTCGGTTCTGTTGCTGTTTCTGGGCCTGCGCAGGGGCGGGGAGGCAGGGGGGCGGGGAGAACCTCTCACATCTTCACAAAGGGTTCATGCAAGCCCCTTTGCGTGATCGCGCGGGCGCGTAACCGTTCGCGAAAACATTCTGATGCCCATGCTGTTTGGCACCCCCATGCTTTGCACCCTTGTATAAGCAACATGAAGCAACTACATTCAGGTTAAGAAGGAGCCCGTGTTTTCTTCTCTTCTGAGTCTCGAACTAAAAAGGCACTCCGAGCCAGCTTAAGCAAAGCACGTTCTGCCGCCCAATCTCTTGCGGATTCGAATGCAATGGGGGGTAAGGGACCCCCCCATGTAGACCCCCAAATAGTAGGATCCCTTATAGCAAGGACCCCCAATATGGTACCCCTAATATCGTAAACGCCCTCCATTGAAAAAAGAAAAACCGGCCTCTGCCAGCAAGATCTGTACTTTGCCGTATCCTTTTTCTCGGCCGGGACCATGTCTGGGACCTTGTTTGTCAGTAGTGTTCCGTGTTACAACACCATTCTTTATGTCCAGCTAGGCCCAACAACAGGAGCTTTGGTATGGTCAGAACAAATGAACGTATCGGAAATGCAACTCGAGAAAGCAAACTTTTCGGCCAGATGGTCGGCGCAAGAGTTATTGCTACCGTCACCATTATAAACAATGCCAACGCATTATAAACCTTAAACCCTAAACCCATAATCCTAAACCCTGTAACCCTAAACCCTTTAGCCCTATAACCCTAAATTACCCTAAACCCCAGCTGCAACCCCACGAAGATGAAGCCACGAAAGCTTTGGAAGCCAGGCGCGGGCCAACGATGCTTGCGACGCTCTCCGCCGTGAAGTTGCGGCCGCCAAGGAAAGGGAGGCTCTGGGTTTAGGGTTTAGGGTTTAGGGTTTAGGGTTTAGGGTTTAGGGTTTAGGGTTTAGGGTTTAGGGTTTAGGGTTTAGGGTTTAGGGTTTAGGGTTTAGGGTTTAGGGTTTAGGGTTTAGGGTTTATCTTGGGGAGGCTTTAAGGGGATGGATTTTAGGGGTTGGTGGGGGACATTTGTATAATGGCTTTGGGATTCTTGGGAATACTGCAATTCCTAAGAAGCAGCACATGGAAAAGGTCTTTTTATTTAAATTTTGCTAAGGTTCCAAGTTCAGTATTAGGCAGGGGGTATGACAATCCCTATGAAGGACTGTCAGTACAAGGGTGAACATCCCAAGGTAAACCATTCACCGCCCGAACAGCCCTTGAGCCCTGTAGTCTCTTCAAGCGCTGCAGTAAAGGATCTTTCCCTTTGCCCAAGGATCCGTTTAGGGTTTTGGGTTTCGGCTTTAGGGTTTCGGGTTTAGGGTTTAGGGTACCTAAAGTATATACTTCGTCCCTAAAGCTACTGTGCATGGGCATAGGAGCCCCTTTATACGTCCCAAGTATATACTTTCTAGGTACATGGATCCTTAGGCATCTGGTCAGGTTGAGGCCACCGCGCAGTTGAAAGCCGACCTGGTGGCGGCCCAAGAGAGACTGGCCGAGTGGAGTGACCTGCCTAAACCTTTCTGCAAATCGGGCTTGAGGCTTCTTTTACTTTGTGGTGCTTTACTGTAACTTTAGATCCTTGGCCTCAACTCGGAACCTGCAAACATCTATACATAAGCCCGCTAGCTCACACTTTGCAGGAGGTGTTGTCAACGGCATCTCAATTCGGTGCCTGTATAGAGAACGAACTGCTCAGCATTGCAACCGGAACTGGCGACCTTTGGTTCAAAAAGTTGCTGATTTAAGAGACTCTTTGGCGGCGCTAGTTGGGCCCTGTAGGCTGGCCGCATGGCCGAGCCGGTGCCGCTGGAAACCTTCGAGCGCGCACCGCCAGCCCGTGCTGCACAGTCGTCGTCCTCGTTTGCATATCCTCCTGGACGGACAGAGGGGGACGAGGAGGAGCGGCGGCGGCGGCAGCTGGAGCTTGCAGGAGACGAGGAGCTGGCCCGCAACCTCGCGGCCCAGCTGCGCTTGACCTCCCCAGCAGAGACAGCAGATTCCGCAGGCGGCCTGCAGTCAGAAGCCTTCCGAGACGACGACAGGCGGCTACCTCGAGTGGGAGACCGAAGTAGCCCAGACAGTCCATACAGAGGTGACTTCGTGAACGAGTACACTTTACACTTTTTTGGGGATACTACAATCCCTTCTAGAACTGAAAGTGTACGCTTGTTGGGGGGCTTACGAACTCAGCAACTAAGGTCACAGCCCACTTAGAAGCCCCTTGAGTGCCCCAGCATGGTCATAAGTAGAGTTATAAGCACAGTTATAAGTATAGTTGAGAAGTACCAGGTGATGCAGACACAGACAGAATGCCTGGAGTGGAGTACCATGCGATGGACTCAGACACCGAGGATGCTTTCTATGCGGAGCCCCCAAAGGCCGCCGGGTACCATCACGTTATCTGCAACGTCCTCGTCAACCTTTTCCGCGCGGGGGGAGGCTGGGGCTCTCGTGTGCAGAATGCCACAGACGTGAGGTTCAGATGAGCCACTGTTCATACTGTGATGCAGTGATGCTATGGCTTCGCCCACCTTAGCCATCTTAGCAAGGAACCCAATGAATCAGTGAAGCAAGGTAGAAGGGCCACAGCCCACAGCTGTTTGATTGCAGGCTCAGCTGGATACTGCCATTTTCCCCTGCCCCAGGGAATCTGAAACAGCCCGGTGGACAGGATGGTGAATCCTGCGCCCGACACATGCGCGGACAGCCATGGAGCTTCGGCTCTCCCGCAACGTGTGTCGTAAAAAGGAAAGAGAGCGCAGCGCCAGCAGCATCACTGCGTGAGTCAAGGCCATGAGTATGCGACGGAGTATTGTTATATGATAGTATGCGCAGGCTGCGTCTTGGAGGTCAGGCTCTACAGGTCTTATGGCCCCCGCGCCTCCGCATCTCAAAGCTTCTTTGCTCATCCGACCAGCAGGTTGACCCGAAGGAGCTAGAGCAGCTCCGTGCAGACCTGGCAGCTGCCAAGGCCCTGCAAGACGACGTCGCTAACAGCACAGCCCGTCATGACGATTTGGGGGTGCTGTTTAAGGGCTCGGTGTCTTTCAGTTCAGCACATGAGCAGTAGGTCATTGTCCACACGGACAAGTCGGGCTCCCATTCTGCCTGCTGTGGCAGGCAGCCGCGGACGAGGAGGCAGCAAAGCTGCGAGCGGAGCTCGCATCCGCTCGCGATGCAGAGGCCAGAAGCACTGAAAGTATCCACAGTTGTGCGCCATTCCTCCCACCTCCTCACCAGACATTGTCTAAGGCGTGTAGAACCTCACAGAGAACCTTCCCTATAGGGTCCTCATGCAAGAAAGCTGTGGAGCTTTGACTACATTCCCTCCTAGCTTACCCCAGCAAGAAACGGCCTTGCTTCGTCAGGCACTCGCCACAGAGGAATGCGCGAAACTCCAGCAAGAACTCACCTCGGCCAGGGAAGCGGAGGACAGCAGCGTGGCCACTCCATTGTGCTGTTGGGCCCGCAATGCTAGTGGCAGTATGTGGGATTCGCGGAATGATGAGTGGCGAATGGTTGATGGAGGCTCGGTAAAGCAGTAACACCATAAGGGCTCAGTGACGAAATTGTAGGGGTTGGGGGTTTAGTTTTCTCCTGAACCTTATGTCGAGCCTTCCACATCCCCAAGCTTCCTCATTCATCTGACCCGCAGGTTGACCCGAAGGAGCTAGCGCAGCTTCGTACAGACCTGGCAGCTGCCAAGGCCCTGGAAGACTTCGCGGACAACACACCCCGTCATGCTGGTTTGAGAGTGTAGTTTAAGGGTTCGGGGTTCAACAGGTTTCCGGCTCAGCAGTAGGTCATTGTCCACACGGACAAGTCGGGCTCCCATTCTGCCTGCTGCGGCAGGCGACTGCTGACGAGGAGGCAGCAAAGCTGCAAGCGGAGCTCACATCCGCTCGCGATGCGGAGGCCGGAAGCACTGAAAGTATCGCACAACTCATCCTTCCCACCTCCTCGCCAGACACTGCCTAAGGCGTGTAGAACCTCACAGAGAGGGTTCCTTAGGGTCCTCACGCAAGAAAGCTGTGGCAGTGCTGTGGCATTCACAGCCGGAGCTCTGATTACATGCCCTCCTAGCTTACCCCGGCAAGGAACAGCCTCATTTCGGCAGGCACTCGCCAGAGATGAATGCGCGAAGCTCCAGCGAGAGCTCGCGGAGGACGGCCGCGCTGGCAAGCCATTGTACTGTGGGGCACGCAATGCATCGCATCACTGCCATGAAAGTATCTTCAGTAAAAGAGTCGGAAGCAACACGTCATAAGGGCTCAGTGACAAAATCGTAGTCCGGAACCCTGTGTCGAGCCCTTCACATCCCCGAGCTTCTTCGTTCATCCGACCAGCAGGTTGACCCGAAGGAGCTAGAGCAGCTCCGTGCAGACTTGGCAGCTGCCAAGGCCCTGGAAGACGACTTCGCTGACAGCACACCCCAGCATGCTGGGTTGAGGGTGCACTTTTAAGGGTTCCGGGTTCAACAGGGTTTGCAGCTCAGCAGTAGGTCATTGTCCACATTCTGCCTGCTGCGACAGGCGGCCGCTGACGAGGAGGCAGCAAAGCTGCGAGCGGAGCTCACATCCGCGCGCGATGCGGAGGCCGGAAGCACTGAAAGTATCCACATTTGTGCGCCATCCATCCCACTGCCTCGCCAGACACGGTGTATGACGCTGTCTTAGGCGTGGAAAACCTCCCAGAGAGCGTTAACAGCGTTAACAGCTTTGCAGGCACTCGCCACAGAGGAATGCGCGAAGCTCCAGCGAGAGCTCACCTCGGCCAGGGACGCGGAGGACAGCATCGCGGGCAATCCATCGTACTGTGGGGCACGCAATGCTAGTGGTAGTATGTGGGATTAGCCGAATAATTAGCGGGGAATGTTTTGGATTGTGTGGTGTCTCTTTGAATTAACAAGAATCGTGGGAGAAACTTGTGCTGGTTGAAGGAACCCGCCTGAGTACAGAGGCGTCGAAATGCAGCGCATCACTTCCATGAAACTATGTTGGCAACAGCTACAAACAAAGAGTCGGAAGCAGCACATTGGAAGAGGCTCAGAGAGGAAATGGAAGTTGGCAGTGCCCAGGAGCTCCTTGTCCTCCTTTCTCTGCTTCCTCGCTCCAATACTCGTTTAAACTGTCAAATCTCCCGGAGCCACCTGGCTAGTGTGGCCTGTGACGGCCTGTGGTATCTTTTTTCAAAATAACGCCATAGATTGCAATCACGACAACACGACACAGCGCACTGCGACATCTTGAAATTAATATACTGCGTAGCACATACATGTACCTGTTATGTGGGTGAAATTATTGGGTATATGGATACGTTACAACAGTTTGTCATGTTAAGTGTATGTGTGTATAATATATACATCTTATATATATATATATATATATACGTACAGGCCCGGGATTGTCGTTTATCAGGGTCCCTGTTGGAGGTCGTTTTGTCTGAGGTGCCCGACTAGCATAAGTACGCATACAAGCGAACCGCAATATTTCCAACAAAGCTAGAACATGGCCTTTGCACAGGCGCAGGCCGCATCAGAACTGGAGAAGCTGCAGAAGGAGGCGCGTGCAGCATGCTCTCGTGTTTGGCCGTCAGGTTCAGGACCGTGCACTGACAATTTGCATTTGCGAAAGATCTCGGTTTAGGACATATTACAGCTTGTCGGCTAAGATGTGAGGGCGATATTATGACAAGAGTCTCAAGTCCACACTAGGTATCGTGCGTGCCAAGTCCGATTTTAGAGGCAGGACATATTTGCATCGTCTTGTGTGTGTGTATATATGTATATATATATATATCAGATATAGGTGCATTTCTGTATGTAGTATAGTATGTACAACCATTTGTACTACCCCTGGCCAACTTGATAACATTTTTTGTTTCTTTATGTGAAGCCGTTCTGGCATCGGCAAGGTTCGAACCGTGCTAATTCCAGTAGTGTAGTTGGAGTCTTCGGGGCTTGGGACCTCAATCACGCAATTCATGCCAGGCTTGTATCTAGGCTGCTGAGACTTAGGGACTGTTGGTTGGGATGTTCCCCATATACTAACAATCCCTATTCAGGACTGGTAGTATAAGGGGGAACATCCCAAGTTGAGTTAATTAGCTTTTGCAAGATCTTGATGCCGTTCGTCGTCAAATTCCCTCTGTGACACAGGCAGTCTCCGAGGAGGAGGCATCCAAGCTGCGAGCAGAGCTCACATCTGCTCGCGATGCGGAGGCCTGTATCCGATTTGGCCCTCGATTAATAGGCTTGAGGGTTTAGAGTTTAAGGGTTTAGAAGGGTCTATAAGGGTGTATAAGGGTTTATAAGGGTTTAGGCAGTGTGTGTGACAGCGTGTGATCACAGCATCGTTAAGGCGGCTAGTGCACGTGCGGGGTTCACATCTTGTTCGACATCTCCTTGATGTTATTATAGTTCTGAGCAGAATTTCAACGCTTCGCGACCCGGCTCGGCCTGAGCTTCTGTAACGAGGCAACCCAAACCGGAGAAGGGTGGGGAGGTGGGGTGTGGGGGGGTGGGTGGGGGGGGGGGGGGGGCAGGCTCTAGTGATGCACCGCTTGCTCCCGGACTCGGCTGGGGGGGGGTGGGGGTACAGTACCCATTTTAGGCCAAAGAGTGCAAAATAAATGGCCCGTCCGTGGGCTGTGGGGAGGGGATTAGAGGTGGGGCGCCTGCTTTGTGCTACCCAGACACCTACTGCCCGAGCCCTCGGCCGATCTGTTCATCCCATCAGAGCAGCTGGCCGGTGAAATTCCGCATGCTGTACTGACTCTCTTGCAGTTTCAGATACTAGACGACCATCTTCGACAGCATAGTTCCAGGAATAGTGGCCTCAGCGAGCTTTGCCAGGCGCTCGCCGCAGACGAATGCGCGAAGCTCCAGCGAGAGCTCGCGTCGTCCAGGGACGCGGAGGAGAGCGATCCATGGAGCTTGACTGTGCGGTTCTGTGCAGGTTTTAAGGTTTAAGGTTTTCTGGTTTTAAGGCTTTTAGGTTTTAAGGTTTTCAGGTTGCTTGTCCAGTTTTGGGTGTGGGCCAGAACCCGGCCTGGGGTTGAAATGAGCAAAGTCCAAGGGCTTGGAGTCTCGAGTCTTGGCTTCTCTCTGCTTATGTAGACTGGGCAAGGCCGTGAAGCTCCGTCTGTCGTTGAGCCGCTGTCATAGTCGCAGAGCCCTAAACCCTAAACCCTAAACCCTAAACCCTAAACCCTAAACTGAGGGCACGCCCACAAACCCTGCGAGTGCTCCCGGAGCAGGCGCTGGCAGCCTCGGAGGTGGAGAAGCTGCAGAAGGAGGTGAACGCAACATCCCTACCTTAAGACCCCAAAACCTACTTTCTTGTAGGTTACCTGAGAATCCTATAAGGGCCTTTTATAGTAAGAACCTACAAAAAAGTGGGTTTTGGGGTCTTAAGGTAAGGCTCCAAAAAGCCCAAAGTAGGTATTATTTGCAGACTTTAGACCCCGATGTAGGTATTACTTGTATACTTGGAGCACCAGAGCATGTTCGACGGTTCTCAGTTCTGCAGCTTCTTTGCCTCGGCTAATAGGCAAAGGCATTGTGTAGCTGGACTTTGAGAAGTTACCGTATGGTTCCCCTAAACCCTAAACCCTAAACCCTAAACCATCAAGCAGTCAGGGCGTCCACCACCCGTCCCAGGACAACGCAACTACTATAGGGGTCGGAGTAGTTGCTAAACAAATTCCTTTTTGTAATTATACAATAATAACTTTTTCCAAGACCCTATTGCCCTATTCTACTCCTAAACCCTACGCCCGAAACCCTAAACCCTGAACCCTAAACTATATTAGACATGGTGGGTGTCCGCCAGGTGACGAGTGCGCGAGATGCCGAGGCGCCGTTGGTCGTCAGATATCGTCGCTGTTGTGACGTAGGGTTTAGGGCTTAGGGGTTGAGGGTTTCGGGTTGAGGGTTTCGGGTTTAGGGTTTAGGGTTTAGGGTTCACAAATACGGCTCACCTGTAGACGTGGGTCGTGCCATGCGCTAGCGGAGTTGTTTAATGAGCAATTTTCCTTAATAACAGCAATCACCATGTAGTCGTAATCTCATGTCTGACTGCTTGTTACTATTGTAGGGTTGCCTTGCGTGTCTCATTCTGATGCCGAGGCCTTGCCACAACGCATCCTGCGAGCAAGATCTTGTTCGGCTATCAGAAGTCCAATCCATTAGGTGCCACAAACACGACCCTTAAACCTTCCAGCCCCCATCTAACTATAGTGCAAACTGTCCACAAAACGCACCATAAATGCAACGGACTTCGGTGCGCTTTGCACACGAAACTCATTCTAGTTGAACGGGCCACTCTGTTCGATGCTGTGTTAGATGCGAGACAAGCCCTGCGATTCACAAAGCAGCCCTCGACCCCTAAACACTTACCCGACACTCGACTGATTATGAGGGGAAGTTGTCTGTGCCCAGAATGATGTACTAGTAACAAACTCTTTGATATCTAAACTTCGGTACCAACGCTCTACACCCCAGACCCTCAAGTTTCAACAGTCTGAAACTGTCTTATGATATGAGGCCAGCGCTGCCGACGAGGTGGCACGCCTCGAGGCGGAGGCAGCTGGGTTTGGATTGTCTTTCGAGGTTTGCTGGTTTTGGGGCTTAGGGTTTAGGGTTTTGGGTTTTGGGAGCCCTTTTCCCTACAGCTTGGGACCTTAGGAGTCGGATGACAAGGGTCGGCTCAAAAAATCCGAAACCCTAACCCCATCTAAACCCTATAAACCCTAAACCCAAGCGACTTGCACGGCGTTTTTTTTCAGCCTGAAAAGTCCGCACTCTGAATGAAGCTCCGACACCCTGAAGCACCCTCCCTAGACACCCACCCCCCCCTTCACCACCCCCCCACGTGATTCCTTTCTTTGGGTTCTCACGGTTAGCTTCCAGGCAAGCTTATAAGTAAGTACAAAAGAAAGCAAGATAAGATAGTGTAGCACTTATATTACCTGGACAAGGAAGAATATTTTTCATATATATATATATATTTATTTATTTATTTTTCTTTTTTTTTGGGGGGGGGTTCTTAAGCAAACAGTAAAACAGTAGCATAAGCCCTAAACCCTTTTCTTTCGCTACACCGTGGCAAGGTGAAGGCCGCTCATCACACCGAGGCACACCGTGCGGCATGATGTGGTAGCCGCACGACGTAGGGTTCAGGGTTGAGGGGGGCTGTATGGGGTTTAGGGTTGAGGGATTATAGGTGTTTAGGGTTGAGGGGTTAGAGGGGTTTAGGGTTGATGGGGTTGTGGGGGTTTAGGGTTTAGGGTAATGGGGGTTTCAGGGGTCTTCCCCTAATCAGACCCTATAGCCCACCACGAACTAAGGGGGAGATTGGTAATAAACCCATCTTGAAACACAGGGGGCACGGCGGGGGGGGGGGGGGGGGGGGGGGGGGGTGGTGCGCAGATGCTGCTGCACTACTCGGCACAGACACACAGATTTAATATATGTATATACATATATATATGTATATATATATATTCACCTTTATATATATATATACACATATAGAATGTATGTATATATACGTATATATACGCATCTCTGAAATTGTGCATTTGTGTTAGGGCTTCGATCTGCGTTTTTTTTTTTTTTTGGGTGGGGGGGGGGTTGGTGTCACTGGTGAGGGGACGGCTCCTGAAAGCGACGTGCAGATGAGCCTGGTGGCTGCCAAAGAGACGGAGGACCGTGCAGCGGTTTAGGGTTTAGGGTTTGGGTGTTTAGGTTTAGGGTTTAGGGTTTAGGGTTTTAGATTTAGGGTTTAGGGTTCAGGGTTTAGGGTTTTAGGTTTAGGGTTTAGGGTTCAGGGGCCCTGTAAAAAGGGGAGAGATACCACTGCCTAAGGTGCATGTCCCTTTGCTGAAGGGTATGTCGGTTCTTCCAGGTCCACCCCATGCACCGTAAACCCAAAACCCAGGAATCCTCACAAGCCGTATAAGACCAAAATCCTTATTGCTCTTCGTCTGCGTGCCAGAAGCTGAGGCAGTTCAGTGCCGGTTTCTTCTGGTCCATTTCCACATCTACAAACACACATACAGAGATGGAGTTCGGGTCGAATCCAAGTCAGAGGCAAAGCTCAAAGTTCCGAAGCACCATCCTCCCCGCAGACCCTGTGAGGGAGAAAGCCCCAAGCCCTAACCCGAAACCCCAAACCCTAAACCCCAAACCCCAAACCCTAAAGGCATTCTGAGACCCCACAGATTCTAATCTCGGGCCGCACGTTTTTTTGGTTCTGGGCCGTTTAGGGTTGAAGTGTCCTGGGTTCCCTTGGAAGTGTCTCCTTAAACAACAAAAGGCTTTTGGACAACCAGGCACGGCCTCGAACCCCCAGAAAGCAAGCCCGAATAAGCCCCAAGCGATGAGCCCCAAATCCTTAGCTCAAAGCCCTGGACCTCGGGATGTTCCCCCTTATACTAGCAGGATTAGTATAAGGAGGAACATCCCCACCTTCCAAACCCCTAGTAAGGACTGTTAGTATCAGGGGGAGCATCCCAACCAAAACCCTCAAATTTCAAACGCGAAGCTTGTCAAAACCCTAAACCCCAAACCCCAAACCCCAAACCCTAACCCTAAACCCTAAACCCTAAACCCTAAACCCTAAACCCTAAACCCTAAACCCTAAACCCTAAACCCTAAACCCTAAACCCTAAACCCTTCACAGTCATTCCGCCCTCCGGAGGCGCAGCTCCGCGAGCAGCTGGCCGAGGCGAAAGCTGCGGAGGCTCCCAAAAAGGTAAGGGCTTTTAGGGATTAGGGTTTAGGGTTTAGGGTTTGGGGTTTGGGGTTTAGGGTTAGGGATGTTTGAGACAATTTGGGGTTCCAGGTTTGTATCATTGTGTTGAGGTTGATCGGGGTTAGAGGGTCTGCCCCTAAAAAGGGCCTGAGGGTAATCTTCAAGGGCATTTAGGGTGCAGCTGAATGGTTGGGGTTTCGAGGTATGGCTTTCGTTAGGGCATTGGGCTTTGGGTTCATAGGGTTTCGGAAAGTCAGGTTGAAGCTTAGTTCATACAGGGGCCTGAATTACATGCAGGTAGTTACCAGATAAACGTTTAGGGCTTTAGGGCCTTGCGTTGAAAGCCTGTTGGGCCGGGTGATGAGGTCACGGGGAACGGGGCCGATTACGGTACTGGGTTCGGGTTAGAAGCGGCCAAAACCAGAATCCTCAACCCTACTCCTACACCCTGGACTCTAAGCCCGTAGACTCAGAACCCTACGGACCCTAAACCCTTAATGACTTAAACCCTGATTCCCTGATCTGAAAACCCCATGCCTCAAGTCCAGTGACGGAGGCAAAGGCCTTGGCTGATGCCTCGGAAGCTCGCCGCGCGCTGTGTCAGAGGCCTTGGCTGGCCTTTGTCAGAGGCCGGTTTCGGGGGGGGGGGGGTGGGGGGGGGGGGGGGGTGGCTTGGAGTTGGGGGGTAATTGGGGGGGGGGGGGGGGGGTGGGGGGGGGGGGCGGGGGGGGGGGCTGGGGGGGGGGGGTTTGGCCGCGTTGTCGGGCAGTCGACATTGGATATGGCCCCTCTGCGACGTGTGCATCAGGTTCAGCACTGGCAGATTTGTGAAAGATGTACTCCGGAGTGAGTGTCCCTTCCTTCTGTAGGACACACTTTCTTGCGCCTTAGCCACTTTTTCCCCGGCTGCACGAAGAGCTGTCAAACGGTGTCGCATCCGCAACAAGGGTTCCGTACCTGACTGCTGCTCGAGCCTCAAACCCGAGCAAGTTGCGGCTTCAGTGCATGAAGGGCTTGAGGTGTGTACTGGGTGTGTAGATTCTAAAACTGTGCGCGGCGTCAGAGGGCTTGAGATACTTTGGGTGTCAGATTCCTTTGTCCACTTTCGGGCTTGGGGGCTTGAGAGGCACGGGGTCAGCCACTCCCGGCTAAGGCTTATACTTATAGAGCTTGGGGGGGCTCTTTCTTCTAGCAGGTCTTATGGTTTCAGCCACGTTTTTTTGGGGAATTCTTGGCAGAGGTCGATGCAAGCTCCACTTCATCGTTTGGCAAAAAACAAAAGCCAAACCCCCCAATCCGTAGGCCCTAAGCCCGGAGACCGCCTAAGTTAAGGGTTTTGGTCTGGGTGGTCTTTGGGGATCGTTTTCGGGCACTCAGCAGCGTCGCCAGATGCAATCCGTCCCGTCATCCCAGTATCATGCACTTCGAAACGGCTCGCGAGCTGCATCGGTCAGTGCCCCCGCAGAAATGGTGCATCACCCGAGCGGAGCTGGAGGAGTTCGTGCAGGTGGTGCACAGTGCCTGGCGTTCAGGGGAGATCCCCATGAGCCAGCCCAATGCGCTGCACTGGGATCCCGCACATGGCCCCAATCTTTATGACGTGAACACTTGCGTGGTGAAGCCAATGACGTTGGCAATGGGAGGCGCCAGCTATGCGTTGATGAAGCATCCTCAGGGTTTAGATTGCGAGGTCTTTGTGTCTCATTCCTGGCATGGAGGGATCTTCCACCTAAGAAGAGGAATTCGCCTGGCGTGGCCTCAGCTCTACAGGCGTCGAAACCTCTACTGCTGCCTCTTGTCGAACCCACAGAACTTGGACTTGGACGAGTTTATTGGTGGGCGCTTGAGCGAGAGTGCCTTTGCCTTGGCATTGCAAAGCGCCTCACACTTGCTCGTGGTCCCAAACCCCTCCATCGGAGTCTACTCAAGGCTTTGGTGTGTCTTCGAGGCCTATCTGGGAGCCCAATGGAATAAAATCTACTTGCTACCTGTGGTGCCGACGCCCCAAGAGACCTGCAGATCTTGGTCCCGGGCAGTTGGCGTGCCCATGTTAGGCGCCTTTGTGGTCGGAGTACCCGTCTCCCTGATTCTTCGAATTTATGAACGTCATACTGGACTCTTCAGCTGGCTGGAGTTCGTGTATCGAGTCTAGGATGCCCAGTAGTGCCCTTATTCCCTTTTTGGGGGAGTTTAGGTTCCCTTATAAAACCCCTTTAAGCAAAAAAGGGCACCCTTTTTAATCCTAGGTTACTGGGCAGCCTAGGAGTACTTTCCTTGGGGGCCCTCTTGATGGTTCTGCCTTGTCGGCACCATCCCTGGTCCTTGGGTGTCATGAGTTGTTTGACTTCGATCGGTTGCGTCTTCTTCCTGCTGGATTTGCTTTGGTCATATGACGCGATCGTATTGCAAGGTGACCACTGGATCGCTGTGCTCTGCCACTACGGCTGGTTTGTGAGTGTGACTCCAATTAATGCCTTGGTCAGCGTGTTGCTTGTGATCGTGAAGGGTGAGAAGGCGAACTTCGAGGAGCAGAAGGGGATGATGCAATTCCATTCTCTGGCCGACTCGCATTGCTCGAGTGCAGCCGATGAACAACGAATCAGACAGGCCATCGCCGGTTCCGAGGATGAGGTGGAGATCGTGATCAACATCCTTTTGGCTGCTGGTGCTTAAACCCTAAACCCTAACCCCAAACCCTAAACCCTAAACCCTAAACCCTAAACCCTAAACCCTAAACCCTAAACCCTAAACCCTAAACCCTAGACCCTAAACCCTAGGCTGCTGGTGCTTACACCGACAACTTGCGCGGCGCCTGGGACAATGGCTTGGACATTGAGAGGGCTGGAATGACTGATGTGAGGACCCCAGAGACTCCAAAACCCCTTAATTAAGGAATATACCTTAAACTATAATAGGAACCCTAGTATGATTTAAGGTATATTCCTTAATTAAGGGGTTTTGGAGTCTCTAGGACTGGGGTCGTCTTCTCGATGCTTGCCTGGTCCGCGTGCGCCCTGGATCTCTTATCCGATACCTTCATTGGTTACCTGTCTCTTCACAGGTACTTTGCACTTCTTAGCCTTCTCTACTGGGTGACCGTGTTGGCCATCCCCCTCTTGGTCTGGAGGCTGGAGAAGAGAGGCCCCGACGTGGCTGTTTTTGCATTGAAGACCTGGGGCCTGGGTGGCATGCTGGCCTTGCAAATTCCCATGCTCTTGTGCTATCTTCAGGGGCTTGATGAAGCAGAAGATATTCAGCTGTTGAGCCTCTTCAACATGACCCTCCTCCCATATCTTGATTCGGAGACTTGGCTAGCTGACGAGCTCAGCACCCGCATCAGTTGCACTGTCCTTGTCAGTCGGTTTCTTTGCATGGTCCTTGTCTGGGCTATTCTGTGGATCGGCATTGAGCGTTGGAATCACCTCCGAATATGGCTCGCTCGAAGAGGCCGTTCAGACGAGTGCAGGGTATCAGAGCTGAACGGGGACAGCGATGACAGCGATGAAAGTGATGAAAGCTCTTCAGCAGACTGATCTCTGAAGGCTTCAAACTGCGTGACGGTGCGACTACGACCTGCAAACACAGGAACGATCGCGAGCTCCCGCCACCCCAGGTGGAAAGAATGCGAGTTAAATTTCTGGCCTTGTTTTAGCCTACACCGCCCTCAGCTTCAGGTATCAGCATGCCTTTTGTTTGAGGTACACGTTGAGGGTTCAGGGTTACAAGGATTTGAGGGTCATGCCTGCAAGCCCTACGACCAAGCCCCCTGAAATCTTCAGCGGTCCTCGTTCTGATAATCGCAGACCCTGTAAGAAGCCATGTGCCCTAAGCCCCGATACACCCGAACATCCACTAGGACCCAGAGTAGGCCATTATTCCCTTTTTTTAGAGTTTAGGGTCCCGTATAAGCCCCTGCCAAACAGGACAACCTGTTATTCCTAGGTTACTCTTGGGTCTAGTCCAGGTTTGGGGTTGATGGGCCTGTGGCTCGAACTTATACTATTGCGGGTTTGGGGTTTAGGGTTTAGGGTTTAGGGTTGAGGGTTTCGGGCTTAGGGTTTAGGGTTGAGGGTTTGGGGTTTGCACTCCAAGAAGGCGTTGACAGCTTCCGCTCTCGTCAGCTAAACTAATGCTTTCGAGCGAAATCCACCCTAAACCCCTCAACCGCTAAACCCTAAACCCCAATAGAGGCTGAAGCTCTGGCCAGGCAAAGTCTTCGAGCCCTTCGCCTTCTCGCAGGTCGCAGGCTGCGCCAGTGGCGCGCCCAACCCCAAAACCCTACCCTGCTTGGAGGTTCATGCTCTGTGGCGCTTTAGTGTAACTTTAGATCCTTAGCTTTTTTGGGTTTATTGGGTTTCATAATAAGGCAGCTAAAAACTAAATTTCTAGCTACCCTGCTAAGTGCAGCCAAGCATGGTACTTAACAACCAATTGTAACTGTACTAGTAATTACTTCTAACCCACTTATGAGACTTAAGCACCTAGTATGGTTTTAAGTACAGTTATAAGTACAGTTATCATGGTTAATAAGCACCATGAACCTCCAAGTGGGGACCAAGTGACCTTTAAAAGGGTCTATGGCTCATACTGGGTATTTCCCAAAATAGAGGTACCCGCTTTACAGGGACAAATAGTACCTACATTGGCGTCTAACATCTGTCAATTATAGTCCCTGTAGAATTCTACTAGAATAACCCCGCAAGAAGCATTCGAATTATCAAGGCCCCTATAACATGTGGTTCGGAGCTTTGGCCCGCCCTTGGCCGTTTGAGGGGCTTGGACTTCACAGCAGCCCAGTGCGGGTTCAGGGTGAGCTTTTTACAGTTCTAGGGGCGCTTTACCCCCTTGGTGGGCCCGAATAGCCGAAAAAACCAATTATGGGCTGGGGCTTGCGGCAAGGCCTCGGGCCAAGCCCTGCAGGACCCGGGAGGGTTTAGGGCTTGGGAGCATGCAAGTGAACTAAGAGGATCCGCACACACACAAACACACGGAGACAGCAACCACGTGACCCAAGTCCAGGGAGACACAAGGACCAGGGAGGTTTCTTGTGAACATTACCTTGGGCCGACTATAGAATGCCGTAAGTGCTTTATGCATCAAAGCCGCCTTCTTCTATTCTTCCTGAGTCTGCATCCCCGACCCCTAATGCCTCAACGCCTGAAAACCCTAAACCCTAAACCCTAAACCCTAAACCCTAAACCCTGAACCCTGAACCCTGAACCCTGAACCCTGAACCCTACTTTCAGGAGCAGCTAGCAGCTGCCGCAGCTGCGGCCGCGGATGCCGACCGTCTCACAGAGACCCTGTCGCCCGGTAGCAGACGGGTGGTTTGTTTCATGTGTCTGCGTTGTAGGGGCTTTAGGGTTTAGGGTTTAGGGTTTAGGGTTTAGGGTTTAGGGTTTAGGGTTTAGGCTCCGTGTGCATTGCGTGATCCAAATCGCGTTGGCTTTGAAGTGACATGGAAGTGGTCCTACACTGCAGGCGCGCCCACCCCCCTATTCACCCAAAACCCAGAACCCGAAGCCCGCAAGCGCCCTCAAGAAGCCCTGCTTCTCAGGCAAACCCAGCTCAAGGCTGGGCCATGCGTTGGTGGAGGTTTCTTTTTACCCTGCAACTTGAACCGTACCAGTAGCATGGTGAGGCGCCTAGCAAAGGAACGGCTTGAGGGCTTTGTCTCAAGGGGGGCTAGGAAGTTTTGGAGTTGAGCTGGGCCCTAAACCCAAATTTTAGGATAGGTAACCCTTCTAGGGGGTTGCTCGGGTTTCTATTCACTGGGGCCCAAGGCCGGTTCTTACGTGGTGCATGTTGGTTCACGGCTCGTGGGGTTGCTGCTAGGAAGAGGTTGGATAGGCACGTGTAGGTCTTAGAGGGCGGGACGCAAAGCCAGCAAGGAGAGCTCAACACTCTGGCGCAGACCTTCACAAGCACAACATGGGGGTGTACCAAAGTAGGAGACCGTAAAGTACACCACCAAATCGTAGGATCCCCTGATAGTAAGGACCCCAATAAGGTACCCCTAAACCCTAAACCCTAAACCCTAAACCCTAAAACCCCATATGGGAACATCCCGGCAGGCCAGAGACCCAAAGCCCATTCTGGCGCCGAGCTCAGGGCGCTTAGCACAGGCCTCGGAGGCCAGAAGGCTTCAATCGCATCATCCCAACTCCGGGACCTCCAAAACTAGGGGTTTTAAGGTTTTAAGGTTTCATGGTTCTAGGGGTTTAGGATTCTTAGGAGGGTTTTAAGGTTTTAGGGTTTTAGGATTCTTAGGGTGTTAGGGGTCCTTACACCCCAAAATCCCCCTGAAACCGATCCAGCACCTTAAGCCCTCACCCCGCAAGCCCCTGCAGCCTATGCCTGCTTTCTGAAGCCCGGCCATCACCTCTTGGGCTGGGGCCCTAACCGGTGTAGGGTTAGGGGTTTAAGGTTCAGCTGAAGGGGGGGCTCTTAAGGTTTAGAGTTTAGGGTTTAGGGTTTGGGGTTTCAAGGGGCACCTCGCACCTTCTTGCCTTTGACATGAAGTAGGGTTTATACTTCTTGTACCCCCAAAAAGGACACCCGGCATATACACTCACCAATCTTCAAAAGGAACCCTTACATATACTCACCAATAGCAGTAGTATAAACCCTGCTTCACATGCCTTTGACATAAGGTGAGAGCTCAGGGCTGCGGGTCGAAGATGTAACATAGGGGTCGGAATAATTACTAGTAACATTCCCTTAGGGTCCCTTGATAATTCTACGAGAATAACCCCCCAAGACCCGATTCTAATTATTCAGCCCCCTATTTGTGTGTGAGCTTGCACTGGCCATGAAATTCGATTGCAGCGTTCGGGCCCTCAGCAAGATGGCAGTGCAGAAAGGAGGATTTTTTTTAAACCTTGCTCCCTGACTTCAAGGAAGCTCTGCGGGAAACAAAGGCCTGTAGGGATTATAATAGCAACGCAAAAGGGATTCTCAGTTAGAGGGTTTAAGGTGTAGGGGGGTTCAAAGGCCCCATAACCTGCTTCCTTCTTTATCTCGAAGGTCTAGCAACCCCGTTTCCCACAGGCTCCTGTCGGTTTGGTACCCTAAACCCTAAACCCTAAACCCTAAGCCCTTGAGAGCCATGGCCGCGGTCTTGAGCGAAAGCTGCGGGTACGACGTGCTGCCCTCAGACGTCTCGATTCTTTTTTACTCTTATCATCCTTTCTTTATCATTAGCAGTATCATTACGTGATAAATTCTACTCTATTCTATTCTATTCTACTCTACTCTATTCTATTCTATTCTATTCTGGATGGACTGGTCAGTAGATAACTCGTACATACATGGGTGGTTGTCACAATCATCATCCCTTTTGGGGTACCCTACGTTTTCGGTGCCATATTATAATAGAGATCCGAAAAGGTAAACCCAAAACCCTAAACCCTAAACCCTACGCAGCCCGAAACCCTACAGCCAGGTGCTTGGCCCCGCGAGTCAGGAGCGAGGTGGAGCAGGCAGCCTCCTCTCAGGAAGCTTGCAGTTGAAGGGGCTGCCGGGTCGTAAGCTTCCAGGGGTTAGGGTTTAGGGTTTCGGGTTTAGGGTTTTTAGGACTTGTATGGCTTGTGTTGAAGTTACTTCTACGGGTAGTGTAGAAGGGCTTTCGGTTTTAAGGTCAAGGGTTACGGCTTCAAGGTTTCAGGATGTGGGTAGGGTAGTGCCTTTGATCTACATGGGGATGCGTTTCAGCTTCGGCTAACGGCAGTCGTTGCGTCGCGCGCTCTTGAGAGGCTTGTTCCTCAGTTCGAAGCCTAAGACAAACCATGAACCCTATGAACTCCAAAGGGGCCCTTCTCTTTAGGGGGTACAGGAGGGGACCCTAGAAGGGACCTAAGTAGCCCCTAAAGGTCGCTTATCAGGGTCCCTCCTTTAGTCCCTGGAGTCTCGAACCGTCCATGTCTTGCGCAGGCCTTCGACCCATCTCCCTGCGGACGCTGCACTCGCCGCTGCCATCGCAGGCTTTTGGCACCTACACCGGTCTGCGTGCATGCGTGCAGGTAAGTCCGTACGTATGTAACGTACACATGTTGATAATGTACCCTAAACCCTCAACCCTAAACCCTAAACCCCAAACCCAAAACCCAAAACCCTAAACCAAACCCCAAACCCCAAACCCCAAACCCTAAACCCTAAACCCTAAACCCTAAACCCTAAACCCTAAACCCTAAACCCTAAACCCTGTGCGTGAGAGTGAATGGCAGTTCGGGGCTCATCGGCTTGACGAGAGGAGGGGCGTAGGAACTGCAGAATGCTTTCACGTAGCAACAGAGTCTGGATACCAGGATGGGCTATTAGGTCCTATCGGTTTAGGGTTTAGGGTTTAGGGTTTAGGGTTTAGGGTTTAGGGTTGGCCCTATAATCCCCATCATCAACTCCATACAGGGCCTTTTTGAAAGGTTATAGGGAATAATAGGGCCTTTTAAGGGATTTTAGGGAATAATAGGGCCTTTTAAGGGATCATAGGGCATAATAGGGCTTTTTTAAGAGGTTATAGGGTATAACAGCCCGT